TGATCTTAGTGGATTTTTAAAGCTTTTTAATTTTATATGTATGAGTGTATAGGATGTCCTTGTGCTCAGAGCTAAGCATTAGAGGTCCATGAATGTTCACACAGGGTTGTCTCTTCAAGGGGAGAGATGTAAAACCTGTTTTCCACCCACAAAGCTGGAAGCAGATATGGTTAATAGCCTGGTGACCTTTTAGATATCTGTGTGGCCAGGCCACATTGGATTCCCCAGACCCTTCTGTTGAAGTTGTTTGTCTCAGTCAATCTACAGCCCTGTCCTCCCCACAGGCCCTTAAGATTTAAGGGCCTGTTTCCTCAGTTCATCAATAGAAGAGCCCATCTTTTGTTTGTTGGTTGGTTTGTTTTGGTTTGGTTTTGTTTTTCAAGACAGGGCTTCTCTGTGGCTTTGGAGGCTGCCCTGGAACTTGTTCTTGTAGACCAGGCTGGTCTTGAACTCACAGTGATCCACCTGCCTCTGCCTCCTGAGTGCTGGGATTAAAGGCGTGTGCCACCACCGCCTGGCCTTCTATAGAACCCATCTTTATGGAAGATGCCACTTATACTTTACAATGAGTTTCAATGGAGTCATGTCTTAAGCTTTGTTGTGCACATGGAATTGAGTAAATTATCCCCAGGAAATATTTTTCCAAATTGTGCTGTGCTTAAATGTGACTAAAATAAATTACTCCGTGTCAGATTCTCAAAGTTTGAGCCAACACTGGCTATTGAGTCATGTTGAATTGAACTATTTTTTTCTCTCCAGAGGATTGCGACGCCGCTAGCTTTGGTGGTTGCAGAGACCCCCCCCCTCCATGAGTGTTTTGCTTACATGCATCACACACATGCCTGGTGCCCTTAGAGTCCAGAAGAGGATTCAGGACTCCTGGAGATGGAGTTACCGATGGTTGTGAGTCACCATGTAGGTACTGGGAATCAAACTCCTGTCCCATCAAGAGCAGTCACTGCTCTTACCTCTGAGCCATCTGTCTAGATTGGATGCTTTAGTGGGATTTATTTCTGTCAATATAGTAGGTCAGTCTGGTTTAAAGTACTAGAGCTCATCAACTCCTGTAATCAACAAAGTGAAAGAGAGTTTTAATAACTTCAGAGCCATCCCAGGATGATGACAGGCAGACTCAGAGCTGTTTTTCATGAGGTACCCCATCAGAAGATTAACAGTATTAGAGGGATGGACTGCATAAAAGAACTCATCCAATACTGAGCAAATAAGGAAGAGCAAGAGCAAACAGAAAAGCAGGGATAAGCAGAACCTCGGTATACAGCAGTTCAAATGTATCCAGTTTCCATCATCAAACTGAAAGACATGCAAAGAAACGGGAAAGGATGACTCTTATGCAGAATAACAAGTGATAGATGTGGCCTGTGAGAAAGATCAGAAGTCATCTTTAACAAAAATATTTCAAAGAAACCATTGCAAAAATGTTGGCATTTGGAAAGGAGAGTATGACTGGAGAAGTAAATAAAAGTACGAACACAGTGTCGACTCAAACAGGAAATAAGGAGACAAAAATATGGGGAAATGCCAAATGGAAATTCTGGAATTGGGAAGTAAACAATTGAAATAAACAGTCCACTAAATTGGCTTACCAAAATTTGAATCAGATAAATAAATAATTGGCAAACTTATAAATACTCCTTTATAGATTTTGGAAGTTGAAGATCAGAAAAGAAAGAATGAGGAAAAAGTGAACATGGGATGAAAGGTAGACAGCATTAGTACACCAAACATAATCAATAAAGACTCTTGGGAAAGAGGCCAGGCGGTGGTGGTGCACACCTTTAATCCCAGCACTTGGGAGGCAGAGGCAGAGAGATCTCTGAGTTTAAGTCAAGCCTGGTCTACAAAGCAAGTTCCAGCACAGCCAAGGCTACACAGAGGAAACCCTGTCTAGAAAAAGAAAAGAAAAGAGAAAAGAGGGAAAACTACTTGAAGAAACAATGGCTGAAAACTTCTCAAATCTGTTTTTTGAATGATCTGTACATACATAGATCTCAATTGATTACAACTAGCATAAGCACAGAGTCAGGTGTCAGGTAAAACGTGCTGAAAGTGAAAGATGAGGAAAATATTTTGTATGTTTCAAATCAATTTACTTTCTTATTTATTTATTTATTTATTTACTTATTTATTTATTTTGGTTTTTTGAGACAGGGTTTCTCTGTGTAGCTTTGGAGCCTATCCTGGCACTAGCTCTGGAGACCAGGCTGGCCTCAAACTCACAGAGATCCGCCTGCCTCTGCCTCCTGAGTGCTGGGATTAACGGCGTGCGCCACCAACGCCCGGCTCAAATCAATTTTCATTTGTTTTGTTTAATGAGACAGGATTTCACAGTGTAGCCTAGGATGACCTGGAACCTATAACATAGACTAGGCTAGCCATGAGCTTGTAACCCTCCTGCCCCAGCCTCCTGGTACTGGCATTATAGCCCTGTGATACCATGTTAGACTTCTTAGTCATTCTCAAAATAAATTTCAAAACATACTGTAAGTTTTTTTAAGTTTTAAAGGATAAATAGAATTACGAGGGAGTGAAAAATACAAAAACCAATAAAGATAAAATTAAAGAGAAATAAAGTAATTTAGAACACATCTCATAAAATAACAGTTGAATGCTTAGATATACCCTAGTATTTGAGTAAAAAATGTCTGAGCCCATTTGCATAAATATGGCAGAACAGGAGAAACAATGCTGTTGACTAACATGCCTGGATATTGGGATTGTAGAAATATTTCCCTGTTCCTGCTTTAATATTGTATGCTACACAAGGTTCATGAGACGATAAAAATATTAGCTCATACTAGTAGGATTATGTTTTCCTGTAGCTCCAGATCAATCCTTTCCTACTTGTCCCATCAATACTGTGATCTTCCCATTGGTTACATTGATATCAAGGTCCCACCTTGAAACACATGGCAGATCAAAACCAGCTGTTACTCCACCCAACACCCTCTTCTGGCCACTGTGGGCACCAGCATTCACATGGTGCACAGGTGTACATGCAGGCAAAACAGGCACACAGATATAAATTAATAAACACACACACACACACACACACACACACACACACACACACACACACACCCACAAACGCGCAGTGTACACAGGACTTAGCCAAAGGACTCACATTTTCAGCTGGCCTTTGTCGTGTGTTAAGTGAACATCAGAAAGTAAAATCAGTACACAGTCCTTGCAACCCTCCATCAACCGTCTGAAGCCCTTATACTGCCACCCCAATGACACGGCTTGCTTTTGTTTTTATGACACAGCGACTCACACTCTAGGGGAAGCTGGCATGGAACTCATCTGCCCCCAGATAATCTCAGACTCACTATCCTGCCTCAGTCTCCTGAGTGCTTTGATTTTATGTGTAATCAATCAGACATGACTTCTCAAACTTTTTATACCTTGGACTCATTTTTTAAACAAATTTCAAAGCATAATATAATGTTGGCATTTCACAAAGAAAAATAACTACTAGTAAATACAAATATGAAATGAAAAAAGAGAAAGTAGACACTGTTTTTAAAAAAATGTGTGATACAATGGAAGCTGACAGCTAATACATAAATTTTTAACTAAGTGAAAGTTCCAGAAGAACCAAGCCTACATAGAAAGACTTATTTAAAAAAAAAAAAAAAAAAAAAAAAAAAAAAAAAAGCAAGCAGTGCTGGCATATGCCTTTAATCTCAGCACTGGGGAAGCAGAAGCAGGCAGAACTCTGTGAGTTCAAGGCCAGGCTGGCCTACAAATTGAGTTCCAGGACAGCCAGGGCTGTTACATAAAGAAATCCTGTCTCAAAGAACAAAAACAAACAAACAAAAAATAGGCTAAGTGACAACACAAACAAACACTGACAAAAGGAACAGAGAAAGGAAAAGAGGGGAAGAGTTGACTGACATGTCTGACACTGGAATTGTAGAAGGCACAGCACAGTGCATTTTTATTGAGTTGACCAATTTCCTGCCTAATGTTATATGCTACATAAGCCCAGATGGCAAGAATAACACATTAAGCTGAATGAGCTGCAGAATTAGGGTTTCTGCTCCAAAAAAAAAACCTTCCTTCTTAAGACACCTGATCAGATCTTCCCCTGAGGTGGGCTCAGGCAAGGTCTCTGCTGTGAGAGAGAATGAATAGCTGTGCTGTCCCAGAGGTGGACTGAACTGGGTCCTGGCACTCTGATAAGGGACACAGGGAATTACTTAGAGCATCAGTAGCAAATAAGGTCTCTGATACAGTGACAACACAAGACACGGAAGAACATGTTGTGACCACACAGAGCTCTCAACAAAAACAACAGCATCCACTGCCCTGAAAATGGCTGACACATGTGTCTGCTGCTACTTGACCAATCAGAGCCCAGTCTTCTAGGTGACTTGGGAAACACATCCCATCCGGACAGGAATCAATTCCCAATTCCAACCATACCCAACACAGGTTCAGGCTTATCATCAGTCCCTTGCCAGCATTCTCCCATTGAGACTCCTCCCCATTCTGCAAAGCTGTGCAGGAAAAGTACTGAGAGGAAAAGTACATATGTGTTCATCATGGATGTTGTCAAGGCTTTGACATGACAACCTAAATAAAGACATTTGTTAAAGAGTTTTCTTCATTCTTTTACCTAAAGGAACTATATCCTGGGTTTTGCTCTAAAAATTAGGTAATTTTTTAAAACATATTTTATGTGTGTGGATGTTGGCTTGCATGTATTTCTATACACCATTGGCAGGCCTGTTAAAAAATGGAAGTCAGAAAACTGTGTTCAATCTGAAACAACTGTAGTTGTAAATGGTTGTGAGCTGGCTTCTGGGCCCAGGAAATCAAATCCAGGTCCTTAGCAAGAGCAGCAAGTACTCTTAAATGTGGATCATCTTTGAAGCTTTTCTTACAAAACACAAGTGGAATTTCAGATGAAATTTCAGGTGATTGACACGACTACACAGGGTTCTTGAACATTAGTTCCCTCTGTGTACTAATCACTTTCAACATCGGCGAGAAGATAAAAATTTCATGGTAAGCACTTTCATTAAGGCTCCTTTCAGGTCCCTGTTCCTCAGGCTGTAGATGAAAGGGTTCAGCATGGGGGTCACCACTGTGTACATCATAGCAGCTGCCATGTCACTCCCAGCTGAGTGAGAGGAGGAGGGGTTGAAATACAGGGATATGATGGTGCCATAGAAGAGGCAGACCACAGCCAGATGGGAGCTGCAGGTGGAGAAGGCCTTCCACCTTCCACTTATGGATGAGACTCTCAGGACTGCACAAGCAATAAGGACATAAGACACGAGGATGCAAACAAACGGGGCTATCATTAACAGCCCTGCAACAAAAAGAATCATTAGCTCATTGAGGTGTGTGTCAGAGCAGGAGAGTTTCAGGAGGGGAGTCACTTCACAGAAGTACTGGGGAATGATGTTGTCTGCACAGAATGAAAGTCGAGCCATGAGCAGTGTGTGCAACAGAGCATTCAGGCTGGATAACACCCATGACCCGACCACCAGCAAGACACAGAGCTGATGGGTCATCTTGGTTGTATAGTGTAAAGGGTGGCATATGGCCACAAAACGGTCATAGGCCATCACAGCCAGCAGGAAATTGTCCATGACAGCAAACACACACAGAAAGTAAATTTGCATGAGACACCCAGAGAAGGAAATGGCTTGATTCCTGAGTATGTGGTTGGCCAGCACCTTGGGGACAGATGTGGAGGAGAAGCAGACATCCACAAAGGACAGGTTGCTGAGGAAGAAGTACATGGGGGTGTGCAGGTGGGAGTCTGTGCCGATGGCCAGGATGATGAGCAGGTTTCCCAGGACAGTGACCAGGTACATGATGAGGAAAAGCAGGAAGAGGAGCTGCTGATGCTGCTGAGGCTGCCTGGAGAGTCCCAGGAGGAGGAACTCAGAGACCACAGACTGGTTGGTGCCTCCCATAGGTCTGATCCCAGCTAGAGAAGAGAGACAGAGATGAGATATGTAGATGCTGGTGGTTTAGATGCAACAGATCATCCTTCATCTACGGGCATGTTGAAGATACATCCCTACATCCCAATCTAAAGGTTCAGTCTAAAGTGGTTGTGGTCCCACTGGCTTTGCCCTTTTAGCTTTATTGAATAAAGCATAGCCACAGTTTTGAACATACACTCCCCATTCCCCATCATCATGTACTCCTGTTAACATCCCAAGTCTTTCTCCCACTCCCTAGCATCAAAAAGACAGAAACAAGAAAAACAGCTGATTATTCTCAAATACTCTGTGACAGACTCCTGACTTTTGCTGTTGCTCCTTGATGTGGAAGAGTGAACATCACTTGTTACAAAGGAAACTTTGCCATCTCCATTGTTCTAAAGTACCCAGATGGGCAGATGCTATGGTTTCAACCTATGTTTCACCTTGAATTTTCTAAGTAGTATAAAATCCTAGGCTCATAAGAAGATTCTGAGCAAGTGAAGAGTGGATGGCCACTGTCCTAGCCCTGTGAAGAAAGAAAGGATATTTGTGAGAATCAGACAGGTATTTACTGCAGCATCCATCCCACTGGGTCTAGACTCCCTGAGCATCTCATTAGAGACAAGCAGAAAGTCATTGTCCCACCTGTTTCCTCATCCCTGGGGATCAGTGATGATGTCAAAGTGTGTCATCCCAGTCCTGGGTCAGCCCCTGGAGATGAGGCAATGTGGGTGGAGGCAAGTCCAAGAGATAATTCTCTTAGAACTTCTTCATCTCATGACAGAAGCCCACAGATTTGAAGAGTTTGTTTCTTATTTTCTTAACTCAGAATGTTAGGGTGTTGTAGTACTGCCAGAGTGAACTTTGCCTTTTTTCCTGATAGCTTAATCATTTCCTCTGTAGGGATTTGTGTCACTTTTGCCACAGGATGTGCTTGGAGCATGGGCGTGAGTTGGTGAATTTACAGATCTAAGATTGGTTCCTTAAGACATATGATGTAAAGAAGAGTGACAAAGGAGCAAGATGGAAGAGCATACAACCTGCCATGACTGGGGAATCCATTATCCAAGAGTAGACCCCCTTTGGGATATCTGACAGCTCACAAAGGATCCCCATTGGCAAACAATCCCCTAATCTCTACCCCCTCAAGAGTCTGTCTTCAACAGCCTGATTCACCCTCCACCATTTCTTTGTGTTTTATGACGTCCATCCACACCTCCAACACTGTGAGGCCCCTCATGATGACAGCTTTGGGACAGCCTTGGAAACCTTTGGTGACTTTGATATTGTTAGAACTCTCTTCCCTTTTGTTGACTACATGAGCTGTAAAACTAATACTTTGCACCATTGTGACTGCCATAAATCAACAGACATAAATCACACTATACAATCCAATCATACATAACCTCTTAAAAGGAATAGTTTCTGAGGTGGTTGGTGTGTGTTCTGACCCTGAGGAGACTCCTGCCAGCTGGTTTTGTTACTTTTTTGAGGAATCTTGCTATGTAGCCCAGGCTGACTCCAACCTCCTTGTTTCACCTCTGTGGAGGAGTTACTGGCAATTAATACCTTCTAGGAAAGAAAGGGAGAATCAGTTTCCTTCTGAGTGTAGCCCTTTGTATGTCAACTGTGCTCCTGTGGACAGCCACACACCCAGGAATACACAGGCAGCACAAACTGAACCTGATGCATATGAGAGAGAAAAACAACTAATTAAAATATGGAGTAGGGAAGGGACTATGGATCTGGGAGCAAGTGGAAGAACACTGAATGTGATAAATAAAAAATCACTGGACAGACTTCTAAAAGAACTAAATTTTTAAATTAATTTTACTTTAGTTCAGTGGTGTTTTGCCTGCATGTATGTCTGTTTGAGGATGTCAGAAGCCCTGGAACTGGAATTACAGACAGATGTGCCCTGCAATGGGATTGCTAGGAACAGATCGTGCGTCTTCTGGAAGAACAACCTGGGCTCTTCACTCCTGGGCCACCTCTCTAGCCCCGTTACTAATCTTTTTAAACACAAGAAAAAAATGAGTAGCAACAGTTCCCAGAGAAAATTCCCAATGTCTTCAGATTTCACCATCTTTACTTGTCTAATGTTGAAGTCAGTTATGCAGATTTTTCTTGTTGGTACATAAACAGGGACTATTGCAGCTGTTTCTCAGTGAAAACTTTCCTCTTTGTAGATATCCGGTTATTGACTACATAGGGATTATGGCCCCTCTGAACACAAGAGGTGCTGGAAGTTCTAGAGGAGCAGGTAATACTATAATCACAGCAAAGCATTGATGTGAGGAGCCCCAAGAGAGGAGAGAGAGGAGTGCAAGCCTGCTGTGACTGAGGGGCTCCATGCTCAGACAGTAGACTTCTCAGGGATGTCTTCTCAGCTCACCATAGATCACCATTTTGCAAAAGCTGCCTAATCTATAGACACCAGGAGTGTGTCTTCAAGAGCCCTGTTTATACTCTACCACCTCTCTCCCAGGGAGGATCATAAATGGTCTCAGTAATGAGACAGGGGACTGGAAACTCCTAGGCCATCTTAAGTGTAATATTCCTGTCCCCATAAATCCAGAAGCTGGCTGTTTTCTCCCAAGCAAGTGTCAACAGATGAGAACAAAGACTAAAGATGCATAGAGGAGCTGGGGGCAGCTGGAGAAAGCCCTGCTGCTGTCCTGCTCTCAAGTCAGGAATATCCTGGAGAGCAGAGAAGTGCTCCCCTCACCAGCAGTCCTCGGTGGGCATGTTGAAAGCCAAGTGTTGTTGATCTAATTATTGTAAAAAAAAAAAGATTTTCATGAACATGATAGTTGGGCATGGTGGTTCATACATGTAATGACAGGATTATGGAGACTGAGGCAAAAGAATTGATAAGAGTCCCAGACCTATCTGAGCTACAGGGTAGGCCCCCGTCTCAAAAACAAAGGAAGACCAAAGGAAAAGAAGAAAGAAGGAAAGGAAGGAAGGAAAGAAGGAAGGAAGGCAAGAAAGAAGGAAGGAAGGAAGGAACAAACCAAGAAAGGAAAGAATGAAGGAAGGAAGAAAAAGAGAATGACAATGGATTTGTGACGTGGCTATGTAGCAAGACCCAGTCACAGAAACTAATCACACTCACAATACAAATGATCAAAAACAGGAGCGGAAAAAGGAAAACTGTTGACTGAGAGTCAGTGATTCTTGCATTAAGTGATTTATTTACACATATGTGGGTTCACTTTTACATGTTTAAAATTTTCCACATCAAAGGTTTTACTGAAAAATCTGAAGTTTTAGTGAGGCTGGAGAAATGGCTTATTGATTGAGAGCACTGGCTATGAATACCTGATTTTTAACAAAGAAGCCAAAACTGTACAATAGGAAAAAAGAAAGCATCTTCAACAAATGGTGCTGGCATAACTGGAAGCCAACATGTAGAAAATTGCAAATAGAGCCATGTCTATCACCGTGCACAAAACACAAGTCCAAGTAGATCAAAGACCTTAACATAAATCCAGGTACACTGAAGCTGATAGAAGACAAAGTGGGAGGTAGTCTTGAATGAACTGATTCAGGAGACCACTTTCTACACAAAACACCAGATGCACAGACACTGAGAGCAACAATCAATAAATGGGACATGAAATTGAAAAGGTTCTGTAAAGCAAAGGAGATGGTAAGTAAGAAAAAAAAACAACCTGCACAATGGGAAAAGATCTTCACCTACCCCACATCTGACAGAGGGCTGATCTCCAAATATACAAAGAACTCAAAAAACTAGAATCAAGATACAAAATAACCCAATGGAAAAATGGGGTACAGCACTAGAATTCTCAACAAAAGAATTTCAAATGGTTAAAAGATGTTTAAGGACTTACTCAATATCCTCAGTCATGAGGGAAATGTAAATCAAAACAACTCTGAGATACCATCTTACACCTGTCCGAATGGCTAGGATGGAAAACACTGATGACAGCCTATGTTGGAGAAGATGTGGAGTAAGGGGAATACTCCTCCACTGCTGGTGGCAGTGCAAACTTATCCAGCCATTTTGGAAATAAATATGATAGTTTCTCAGAAAATTGGAAATCAATCTACCTCCAGTCCCAGAATTACCACTCTTGGACATATAATCCCAAAGGATGCCCAATCATACCACAAGGACACTTGCTCAATTATGTTCAAAGCAACATTATTCGTTATATCCAGAATCTGGACAACCTAGATGCCCCTCAACCAAAGAATGGGTAAAGAAAATGGGGTTTACTTATACAACGGAGTATTACTCAGCTGTAAAAGACAATAACATAATGAAATTTGCAGGCAAATGGATGGAACTAGAAAAAAATCATTCTGAGTGAGGTAACCCAGACCCAGAAAGACAAACAAGGTATGTGCTCACTCATAAGTGCAGACTAGATGTAAAGCAAAGGATACCCAGACCACAAGCCACAGCTCCAGAGAAGCTAGGTAACAACAAGGACCCTAAGAGGGACACATGGATCACCCTGGGAGGAGAAATAGACATGGCAATATGAAAAATGACATTTGTTAAGTTTTTATCTCTCTGTTACTTAATGATTTGTATCCTGGGTTTTGTATCCAGGACAGATAGTAGACAATTTTCCTACAAAAGACAAGTGCTAAGTTTCAGTTAAAATTGATAAAAACATATAGGATTCTTAGCTATTATAGTTGCCTCTATGATACAGCTTCAAACATTATTGAGTAGATAAATATTTCATGGTAAGCACTTTCCTTAAAGCCCCTTTCAGGTCCCTGTTCCTCAGGCTGTAGATGAAAGGGTTCAGCATGGGGGTCACCACTGTGTACATCATGGCAGCTGCCATGTCACTCCCAGCTGAGTGAGAGGAGGAGGGGTTGAAATACAGGGATATGATGGTTCCATAGAAGAGGCAGACCACAGCCAGGTGGGAGCTGCAGGTGGAGAAGGCCTTCCACCTTCCACTTGTGGACGAGACTCTCAGAACAGCAGAGGTGATGTGGATGTAGGAGATCAGGATGCAGACAAATGGGGTGACCATGATCAAAACTCCCTCTGTAAGAATCATTAGCTCATTGAGGTGTGTGTCAGAGCAGGAGAGTTTCAGGAGGGGTATGATGTCACAGAAGAAGTGGGGAATGATGTTGTCTGCACAGAATGAGAGTCCAGCCATGAGCAGGGTGTGCAACAGAGCATTCAGGCTGGCTACCACCCATGACCCGACCACCAGCAAGACACAGAGCTGATGGGTCATCTTGGTTGCATAGTGTAAAGGGTGGCATATGGCCACATACCGATCATAGGCCATCACAGCCAGCAGGAAATTGTCCATGTC